GTGGTGCAATTTCCATGGTAAATATAAAGGTTTCGTTAATAGAATTGTGATTTGCGGTTATAATGCATTATTTCTAAGTTCTTTGAGTAATGAGAAAGTTATGTGAAATATATATGTGTTGAGAATTATCATGAAGTGAAATGAATTGGATTGACATTATGTTATGTAGTATGAGATATTATTGAATTGTGGGTGTGAATTATGACTTGTATTGACATTGCATGATTTCATAAGTTCTATGAGTTTGACGGAAATTACGTGAAATGCATATATTGTGAATTATGATGCTTTGAATTGAATTGAATGGGAGTAGGAAAATTTTAAAATAGCATATTCATGTTACAGTTTTGAAGATGAGCATTTGATTAAAGTTTTGGATTAATCTTGAGCTGAATCGATATTAGGCTATGTATTATGAAAATGTTGAATGTTAAGGTGATTGTGAGGTGATGATAAGTAGATGAAGAATTTGTATTATACCTGGCACTTGAGAAATTGAATTGGGCAAAAAGGCCCGTGGATATAAGGGTGAATATGTGAGATTGGGCGAGAAAGGCCCGTGAATGTGAAATGGGGCGAAAAAAAAAAAAAAAAGGCCCGTGAATGTGAACTTGGGCGAGAAAGGTCCGTGAATGTGAAATTAGGCAGAAAAGGCCCGTAGATATGGAGGAAAAAAAAAAGAAGAAGAAGAAGAAGAAAAGAAAAAGGAAGTGTGATGTGTATTGGCCAGGTATAATACAATATTTTCCAACCTACTAGTCACTGATTGAAATAAAAGAAAATGATGGTGAAATTATTGTTCTGTCAATGTTAAGTGTGAATAGAAATTTGAAAACCTTATGAACAATGATAATTATGATTAGAAATTTTAAATATTTATGGAAGATATGGTGATTTACCGAATGGGAATGAAATTTTAAACTGTGGTTGTGTGTTATCTACTATAATTAGAGTGGTGGGTAGACATGAATGAAACTATGAAATGAAATTTTGAGTTTGTTTAATATAAATGATTTCTCAGTTGAGTTTTTTTTCGTTTAATGACAAGAATTGGCGAGAAAAGTTTATAATTGTAATTTCGATTGGTTTGGGTTGCCATTAATGAATTATGGCGTGTAATTATGATATTTTGTTAGCCACGATAGTCATGACCCGGAATTTGACATTCGATTTGTCAATGTGAGAGAAAACAATTGGACCACCAGTAGTTTAAAAGAGATTCATTGATGCTTCATTTTCTACACAATTTGTTGTCTCTTGACATACCAAAGTGTGTTAGGTGGTGTCATGACAAACTTGGGTGTGTTATGTGGTTTCATGACAAATTTGGGTGTATGGAAACTCATAAACCTTATGTTCATTTACTTCTTTTTATTTTCTTACTAATATGAGAGAAAAGAAAGAAAAGAAAAGATAAGGTTTTTAAAATTTTGCCTTGAGTAATTGAGTAAATTGCCGAAACGAAGGAAATCAAGGAATGAGATTTTGATTTCATTCCATGGTAACGAAAATTGCGGATCTTTATTTTAGTGGCAAGTAATGATGGTTGGAATTCCAAAGATTTTGGTTGGAACCTTGCTAATTGATTTGTCAATTTTAGTGGTTTGGTTTGACATTGTGATATTTACTTAGCCACTGACGATCACAGCTAGAATTGATGGGGAAGTCTATAATTATAATCTCGATGGGTTTGGTTACCACAATTTTGAATTGTCATTGTTGAATTGGTTATTGCGAACCAATTTAATAACGAGCACTTATCCTCGTGGCTATGTGATAAATAAAGTTTAGTATGTTTGGCCAATAGAGTGTAACCTATTTAAAATTTCTCTTTTAATTGATGAAATGTGAATGGTATTCTGAAGGTGCGAGTCACTTATTTATTATATTTGTAGTTGTACTTTGAGAAAAAAAAAACGATTGAAAGAAAGATTTAAAGGGCTTTAAATTTTTACTATGGGCAATTTAGTTAATCAGTAGAAATGGAAGGAACTATAGAATGAGAATTTATATTAGTGGTGTTGCGAATTTGGTTTTAATCTTCTTTCCATTAACCAGTGAGTGTGATTGGAAATTTCCAACGAATTTGGTTGAAATTTTTTATGTTTGGTTTGCCAATTATAAAGCTTTGGCTTGAAATTTTGAGATTTTACTAGGTTAATGGATGATTTAGAATTTTGATATTTAATTGGCCGAGAATAGTTATGGTTGTAAATTTAGAATAATTATGCTACCAATATCGAGTATTTTCTGATGTTGGTATCGTTAGTGATGGTAGCTAAAAATTTAGAAGAAGGATTGGGGTAATGGCTGTGTATAGCCAATGAAGGCCATGAAAAATTTTGGGTTACTGTGGATATTTATTTTGCCAATGGGTGTGGTTAGGATTTTTTATATGCATTTTGCCAATGAATGTGTTTGGGAATATGAGAATGTGAGTAATAATCATGATTATAATTCGATGTTTCACTTATTTTTGTAACTTGAATAAAATTGGAGACGGATGTTATAAGTTTATTTCACCATAAAAGAAATGGTGGAAGTAGTGTTAGTTCCTTCTTGTAACTTGACGGTTGAAATCTCGAGGACGAGATTTATTTTAACAAGGGGTGAATTAACACCTTGAAAAATTTAAAGATATGAATTAGATAATAGAATTATGAATATGTGGAGAATCGAAAATCAATCGATTTACTGTTATAAATATAGAATTGTGAAATTATTATAATTCACGTAATTGTATTATTGAGATTTTATATTAATTTTCAAGAAATTATATTAATTTATTTGAGATCAGTTTTAAATTAAACTGGTTACGAAGTAGAGGTTTGGAAGTTAATTATTTAAAATTCATAGACCATTCGAGGTCACAATTTATATTTTTGAATTGAGCTCGACATGAAATGGAGTTATAACAAATAAGTTATTAACGATTGAAGTTAGGGATAAAATGGTCATTTAATCAATTTCTGGAAGGCTCCAGATTTGCTGGAGCAAGGATCTGAGAAGCCACGTGTGTGGCTGTGATGGAAAAGGAAGGAGAGAAAGGGAGAGCCACGGGCTAATCAGAATGGGGGGGAAAATGAGTGAAAGGAGGGAGAGAAGGGGGGAAGAGGGTGTGGGTGTTTTCTCGACCAGACCCGGCGAGAAGGACCGACGTTCTTCATGGTGTTTCATGGCGAAATTGCCACCACCCATTACTTGGAAACACTTTCCCTACCTCCCCTCTCTCAATTCTACTAAAAAACATAAGGATTTTGGAGGTGGTTTGGGGACGAAACACCAGTGGGTGTTGTGGCCACCCTTGTTCGAATTCCACCAATTGTGAAATGTTTCCCTCCAATTACCACCATTACTAGACTTCCCCGAAGGCCTAGAACAAAGCCCAAACAACTGTAGGGGCGGCGGAGCATTGAAGGTGATGATTTGAGGTCACACATGTATAGGGTTTCCGGCGGGTTTGGGCCAAATTGGACCTGTCCTCAGGTATAAAGTTTGCTCTACTCTTTGAGATTTTCATTTCTGTAATTTTTGAGAATTTTTAAAAATAGTTGAATTTTCCGATGAGCCGGGGCGGCCGACCGCCACACTGGTGCGGCGGTGCACGGCCAAGGAGCCGACATTGTGTTTTTATACAAATTTCGTTATTCTAATTATGCTTTTGAGACCTAACTGATGTGGTTTGAATATTAATACAATTGTGGTATATGTTGGATTAAATGAATATATTTGGTTTTGGTTTAATTTTTGGAATTGTGAACTACGAATGGCTTGATCCCTATTTAGAGTACGTAGGCAGTCTAACAAGACGTTAGATGCAGCCATACAATAAATGAGATTCAATAAACGAGACAAAGCTTTGCTTGGGAAATTGAACTAAGTAAGGAGTTTAGAATTTTATTATAAAAGGAAATCTCATGTTTTGTATATATAAATTCTAGTTACAATTTGGAAATAAATCAAACAGGAAAATTGATTTAGGCCTATCATTGGAACTATTTCTCGAAAATAAATATTTCGGGGCCTAGGGCGTGACAAGCTTCCCTTCGACCGGTGTTGGAGTTTTCATGGAACTTATCAACGATTTTATCCCACAAAACCTTTCTATTTTGATTTGTGTCGACAGTACCATCTTTGCTAATAGAAATTCATGCTAAACATAAAGCAATATCTTTGTCAAAGGTTCAATTACGTCCTCTAACATGCTCTTTTGCCATCTTGAAAAATTTGGAAATGAGAAGAAATGGTAAAAAGAAAAATTGGAAGAATTGTACGAGAAAAGTGAGTTTTGTGTGAATGTTTGAACAAATACATTGGTATTTATAGAGTTTTTGGGTGAATTTTGAGTTAAATAATTTTTTAAAATTATTTTAGCCGTTGGATTCAATAATTATATAAATATAAAACAACAAAAAAAATTTGAACGTGAACCGTTGGATTAACCAACGGCCCTTTTAAAATCAGTCGTTGGATCGAAAATAGTAGCCCAACGGCTACCGACATGATGTGACAACCAGAGGACATACCTACGTGGGTGGGGTCCCGTTGGGCTGTCGTCTGGCGCATTGGGGCGAGTCGGGTTGGCGTCTAAGCTTCACACCCCATGGTGCACTCGCAGCGACTGGGGTCCACTCCAATTTGTGGGCTAAACTTGGGCTATTTTTTTGCCCTGAGATGAGTTTTAAGTTTTAGGTTAGTTTTAGGCCATGGCTTGGGTTTTTTTTTTTTTTTTTTTTTTGGGGGGGTGGTTATGGACAAGGACTGTCTGCCCTCCCACTTTCGGTGCCCTTCCGTGCCTTCCTGTTTTGTGTGGTCACGGTTAAGTCACGTCAACATTTTATATTATTTTTTTATAGAGATAATGAGACAAAAATAAATAGTAATATAAAATGTTGATTTGGCTTAACCGTGACAGGAGAGATCAAACAATCCTTGTCCATAGGTTATAGCCCAGGATTGAAGTGAGTCTAATAATAACACATCATTTAGTTTGTAAATTTAGTTTAAAATTTTGATCCTCTAAAATTACCCTTTCAAAAATTTCTCTGCTCAGTCGGAATACAAACTGAAAGCCCCTCACAGTTTTGGATTTGGACCTTGCGAAAAATCTTCGAACGGCGACGATGCAAGCCAAAACTTCTCAATCACATTCACCCGGTACTTCTCTTTTGATTGTCTTCTCTCTCGATCTCATTTTCTTTCCATTTACTCTTTTTCCCAGGTCCCCGCGCTGAGAATTCAGTACCAAAATATACATGGATGATCTCTTTCCTTTCCCTTTTTTCCCAACTCTATTTTCTCGGCAGCCAAACCGGGGTTAAATTAGTTTTGTACTTCTGTTTAATTACCCAAAGCTATTGATAATCTTGTTAAACATCGTAAATAACTTTGTAATTTCACTTATGAGTGAGAAAAACTTTGTTTTGGATTTTAATTTTCTAGGGCTTCTTTTAGCTGTAATATGATTTCCATCCTTCTTCCAGTGCAATGTATGTCATATTAGTATGTATTTAATGCTTATAATTGTTCTTTACGATTGTGGTAGCCGTCAGGATGGGTAGCTCTGAGAAGGTGCCAAATGGCTGCTTGACAACAGCCAGTGCTGGAGATGATACGCCATTCGATCTTTTACGCGATTTTTACGGTAAGCATTACAACTTATTGATTGCTCTTGTGCTAATTTAGATGCATATAGTGAATATTGTTTTTTTCGAACTTTCAGTCATGTGTTGGTTATGTGTGAAATATGGTTCCAATTATTAGCTAATGGTTCTGAGAGGCATTATATCAATCCATCGTTTTCGAAAACAAGTGCCAAGTGGAGTGAACTTTTATGAAATGCGAAAGCAGATGCCTTGCAATGTTGACCCTTGTAAAAAAACCAACCTCCCTGAAGCTATTGATCAAGTGAAAATGGAAAAGGCGAGCATAAACTGTGGTCTCCTTCGATTTCATCTCACAGAGTTTCTTTATATATTTTTTAACTAATGCTGCACTGGAAAATGATTATTTCTTCCAATTGTGTACCATACTATTGTGAGCAATTATTTGTATGAATATTTACAAGGAGAGAAGTTAGTTTCTTTGGCTTTGTTGTGAGCATTGCAGATGGTGTCATAGCTGGCGGTGCTGCTGGTGTTTTTGTAGAAGCAGCTTTATACCCTATTGACACAATAAAAACTCGATTACAGGCATGTAAGCTATACTGAATATCTTTCTTAATTATCTTCTGGGTTCTGTTTGGAATGTCTTGTAGGCGAAAGGAAATATTCATTCATATTATATATTTAGGTTGCTTGTCTTGAAAAGTGGAAGAATCAGTGCCTTCATTTATGAATTAATAGGGAGTCACTGTTAGGTGCTACCATGCTCATTTTGGCTAAATTGTCTGACATTTAAGTGACTAATTCCCACTACATGATGCCTTCATTTATATATTTATAGGGCGTCACTTCTAGGTGCTACTATGCTGATCTTTATTTGCTAAGTTATCTAATACGGGAGTGACTAATTCCCAACATATGTGGTTACATAGTCTTGGTCCATGTTCAATGACCTTCACGAGTATTACTTTGTATATGTTCTTAATCAACTGGCTCAGTATTTTTTGGGTCATAGTTATACTTTGCGCAACAAACTCTATATTATTACATATGGTTTCACAAATTTCCATTTGTAGAATGAATAGTGATTTTCTAGAATTGCGTAGTTCATTATCAAAAAGTGAACTATTGTGGCTTTTCATTAATGTAACTATCTGTGTATTTTTGGTTATGGAATGGTCTTCATTCCTACATAATACTTGCCTATTCTCTAAATCGTTATTTTTTCTTTCCTTGCATTCACTTTTAGGTTGCCCATGCTGGAGGGCAAATTATGTTGAAGGGTCTATATTCAGGATTGGCTGGAAACCTTGCTGGTGTCTTACCGTAAGTACATATTTTTCTTAAAAAGAAGAAAAAAAACTTGGGTAGGAAGTACAGTTCAATATCAGATAGATAGGCGTTTGCTGAAAATTTACATGCTGATTGCTTACTTTGGTGTTTTGCCTGTTCCATATGCCTTTGTGATCATTTATGTCAAACCTGACTTTTGGGCCTAAGCTGTCTGAAACGTTAACCAAGATATATTACGAAACCTTACATGCATTAGTATAGTGCATCCAATTTTCCCCATTTGAGGATGCATTTGAATTTGGAGACCAGCTGTTTTCGTTTTCTTTTGATACATAATTTATCTGACTTTAAAACCTATTGAAAAGTGTTTTTTTTTTTTTTTTTTTTAACAAAAGATATTATCACCTATTGAAAAGTGTTAAAACCATTCTTTCCTAACTTTAGTGAACAGTTATGATATTGTTTCCCTCTTTGCAGGGTACGTACTTGTATTTTTTATTTTATTTTTGTTTATTTCTCATTTTCAAGCATTTCCCTTTGAGAACTGTCTGTGTCCGGCAAATAGGTAATAAAGGGTTAGTCTAGTTTACATGTTTATGTAGTCCTATACTATAGCATTGCGTTTGGAACACGACTTGTGTCAAGTTTTTCTCAATCGGCACTACATAGGAATAGCATTGTAAATGGAAATGACTAGACATGAGGAGTTGGTGCAACTTCTGTCAAGATACATGATATCATTCTTGTAGTTTGAACAAGATCTCGTAGTTTTATCTGCAAACAAACAAGTATATTCTCCTTATGGGGAAAAGTGCATATGATGAAAGTACAAATATGTAGTTGTCTCTTGTTCCTTTGGAGTAACATGCAGATTTGGTCAATCTGTCATACATTCATAGTTATTTCCATTTCTCAGATTTGTTGAATTGCTTCAAAATTTCTTACTAAGTGTGTGAATCTTCACAGGGCCTCTGCCATATTTGTTGGTGTTTATGAACCTACAAAGCAGAAACTTCTGAACGCATTGCCAGAAAACCTTAGTGCTTTAGCTCATTTGGTATGTTACCCAATTTTGAATGCACATTAACTAACAATCCTTAATGCTAGGAAACATAAATTACTTCACAAAGGCCATTGTTATTTAAATAGGTATTAAGACTTCAATCAGACTGCAGGTGCCATTGCAGGTGCTGCTTCTTCTGTTGTACGAGTTCCAACAGAGGTAGTTAAGTTGTTTTGTTTCTGATTTCCATCAATTAGTTATTTGTTTCTTCCCCTTGTTACCATTTTGACTATTCCTAGGTTGTCAAGCAACGGATGCAAACCGCACAATTTTCCTCAGCCCCAGATGCTGTCCGTCTTATTCTTGCTAAGGAGGGTTTCAAAGGTCTTTACGCGGTATGTCACCCGTAGTGCTCTCCACTCTAAATTTCTCTGAGCCAAGTTTGAGTCTGAGGTTTCTCTTACTTAGTTTAAACTTTAACCTATAACAAATGTCCCGTCTTAGTTAACAACAAATCACTTATCTTGAAACAAAGGTCGTATGTTGTGTATACAACTTTTACAATCAACAGATTCGCTCATTATAGTATTTGCTTTTAGCTTGTGAAAAGGCTTTGGTTCTTATGCCTTGATGTCTTTGTGTGATTGCAGGGGTATGGATCATTCCTACTGCGAGATTTACCATTTGATGCTGTTCAGTTTTGCATCTACGAGCAGCTTCGAATAGGATTTAAACTAGCGGTAGGATAAGAGTATATTTATAATTGTTAATGGAGATGTTCAAGGAAATCTTGAACCGAGTTCAAATATGCTATTAGTTAAAAGCTAAACTCATTTTCTATACAAAAAATAGTAAGCTTTAGCTATGTTAACTCACCACTAGAAATCATTTGATTGCTACCCATAAAGTTTTTTGCAGCTTCATTTTTTTCCCTCAACATTTTGGTACCTGATCTGCATTGCAATACATGGGTTGTGTCTATGAGTGTGTGATTGAAAAACATGATTCAAGTCTAATTGCATTGTTTGGCCATGTAGTTTGGACTCGATTCCATTCTCGTCCCTAAAGTTTCAGTCTTTGCCATTTTATTTATTTCTTCTGCATTGGAATATACATGGATCTGTCACTGTGTGTCCTGGAAAAATGATTAGATTCTGGCTTCCCTGTAGGCACGAAGAGATCTGAAAGACCCTGAGGTTGCTTTAATTGGTGCTTTTGCTGGTAACATAACATCATACATTTTCTGACTTTAGATTGGGTTCTTTGGACTTTCTGCCCGCTATCTCTACTCTTCACCATGTAATTCCTATGGGATTTATACCTCTGTGTGTATGCATGAATGTTTGTATGCATTACTTTATACACATATCTATAATGTAGGCCTCACTCACCTTATCTGTTTTCTAGGAAGTCATTTTGGGTAGCTGTAGAGTCTTCCTTCAACTTACATAAAGACCATCTCACACAAACTCCTACCCTGAATGCCATTGTAATGATATGTTCTTCCTCTTAAATTCTGATGTATCACTTAATAAATTTAGTTTTATAAACAAGCTTTTGAAAATAGAAAGAACAAGAAAATTCTTAGTTAAGATGATATTTTGCGTGCCAACTTGTACTCTGTAATAAGTGCACCATAACCAGTCCACTCGTGCTTATTGGTACTTATGTAACTTGCATGTGTTTTAACAAATAGAAAAAGTAAGTTGCATGTGCTAGGTTGATCTTCTCATAATAATGCAGCGTTCAATGAAAAGCCTTTCAGTTTACTCTCTCTCTAACTTGCAGGTGCAATAACTGGAGCTATAACTACTCCTCTTGACGTGATAAAAACGAGATTAATGGTTCAGGTATTAATGTGCATTTCTGTTTTGAGATTGAATTAACTCTGTTTTGACTTTCCTTTCCACCGTGCCCTTTGCTTCTTAACTTTTTCAGGGATCAGGAAACCAGTACCAAGGAATTTGTGATTGTGTTGGGACCATAATGAGAGAAGAAGGAAGTCGTGCTTTTTGGAAGGTATAACAACTGACCATTCCTTGCTACTGAAATTTAACTTGATAATTGTCTTATTTTTTACTTTATTTTAATGAAGAACATCTCCGATTGAGATGTCAAAGTCAAATGTCTAGTTTTTGTTTAAAGGCTTCTGTGGCAAATTGACATAGATGCCAAATCAAGCTAGGAATCGGCGTCATTGCTGGAATGCAAGAAACATCTTTTGTGTCTGTTGGGAGTCACCGCTGTAGAAGTGGCTCCTCGGATTGAGAGGCTCTAAGAAATCTGATTTTCTAAGGGCTTTACATTGAAGACTTTTAACCAATGTCTCTCTTTTCAGTTCAGCATCCCCATAGATTTCCTATCTTTAATTCTAGGGTTATATTTGGAGTTTACTCTCCCTTCCCTCTTCTCATTATGCTTTCATTGCTTGTCGGATACATTATGTTTGTTTATTCGTTTCATAATAATTGGCAGACTAAGTGATTTCGGACTTCTTGATATTTTCTATGATCTTTGCGCATTGACAAGTAGACGGTTGGGATCATTGAACTGCGTTGATTGTTGGGCCCGCATGCAATTCCTTTCGATGAGAAACAAAAGGAACCCGTATTAAGCTTCTCTTGTGGTATTTGATGCAGGGTGTTGGACCACGAGTTTTGTGGATAGGTGTTGGGGGTTCAATATTTTTCGGTGTTCTTGAAAGGACAAAGCAAATGCTTGAGGGAAGGCGCCCCAGGCATCACAAGTCTTGACTCTTCCGAGCGGAACTGACTGTAGCAGATTCCATACAGAGTAGGGACTGAGTTGATAAGTAAGTCGCAGTTTGATGCCAACATTGGTGCTTGATGAGGGTCCGCATATCAACCATTCCACCACTATCAACCATTCAACTACCACTATCAAGCTTATCTACCCTATCAACCATTCCACCACCACCATCACAGTTTTTTAATCTTCATTACTTTTTTATTGTTGTGTTAAGCTTGTTTTTTCAGGAATAGTTTGGTATTGTTGCGCTCTTTAAAAAAATGGACAACTGTAAAATAAAGTTGTTGAATGTTTGGTTAACTTTTCTTCTTGTAAAAGTGCATTTAACAAAAAAAAAAAAAATGTCTTAAGTGTTTGGTAAACTATTATAAAAAATCGTTGTGAATATGCTAAATGACTAAAAATAATATAGTATTGAATGTGATATAATAATTGCCAAAGAGAATAATGCAAGAACAAATATTTGAGTTTTGTAAAATATGGTGGGTATATATTGTTATTCGAAAATTTCATTAATTGTGCACTATTCACTATGCTTTGAAAAAAAACACTTTTTGGAGAAGCATGGTAGACTTTGTTTTAGCTTTTTACTATTATTGGCAGCAATTTTAAAATAAAAACTTTTTTTACCAAACACATTTGATATTCCAAAACTTTTTAATAGCTGTTTTTTCTTTAAGCACAACCCCAAACTAGCCCTCGATGTTTACACTAAACGTCGTTGGGCGAAAAAATTACTATCAATCTCACCATCCATGATATTTCAACTTGAAACCTTTTATTTATATCTGAAGATGAATATCATTAAATCATAATACTAAATGACAAAGATAGCAGATTAGATATAGAAGAAATGTACAAAAAAAAAAGATGCATAAAAAGAAAACAAAAAACTATTTTATGTTGTACAAGTACTTTTTTCATATCTCAAGCATAAAATATATAAAAATTAAAAATTAAAAACTGAAAATAAAATAATTATTAGTAAAAAGGCTCAAAAAGTCTGATCAGGGAATTGAATCCTTGACCTAAGCTAAGAGCACGACTAGTGGTTAAGAGTTTAGTATTTAAATCCTGGAAAATACCAGCTTCAGAGGTTGGTGTGTGATTGATGTGAGATTTAAGAATTGATTACAATATTTATTTGTCATTTGTCAGCACGAGGGAAATACTTTATTCAACAAGATGATGCCATGAATGTTATTTTATTCTTGCTTTTATTTTCCGTGTCTAATTTAACAACTAAATGCGAGGAATATTTTCTCAAGACTTTTCTACTCCTAACTTTCGCTTAGGAAAAGTAGTTTGCGTGTAAAACAGAGGCATCGAAATTTTCTTGGTTCAAGGCAATTACCAACTTGTATCACTTTCCAAAATAGTAAAAATACTCAAACCTCAAATCAGTATACATACGGTTGGTGTCATCCACACGTCAATTTTTACTTTTTACACACTTTTCTTAATTTTCAATCGTCAAATTGAATAAATTAAAAAAGATTAATGAATAAAAACTGACAGAAGTGTATGAGAGGTAAAATGAACTATATATAAGACTGTTATGCGTGTAATTTATTCAAGAGCTAGGAGAGTAAGCATATATGGGTAAGGCACAATGCTCCTATGTTGTTATCCTAGCATGTTCTTTACTTGTTAATCTATTGGTGGTTTTTAATTCACTCTATACGGATGGAGAGTGGGCGCTGAGTTGGACCAAAAGAGCAGCAGAACAAGCTGAGCAGGTGGCAGCCATCTGTTGCTCAGGCCATGGAAGAGCCTACTTGGACGGCTTGGTTCTTGATGGAAAGGAACCTGTTTGTGAGTGCAATTCCTGCTACGGAGGCCCTGACTGCTCCGAGTTTACGACTGATTGTGCAGCAAATGCTGATAGGTTCTCTCTCTCTCTCTCTCTCTCTCTCTCTCCCCCCCCCCCCTCCACACCCCCCAAAAAAATATGGAGCGTGAACTTGAGCTCTGTGATTGTTTTTGTATAAAACATATATTTTCGGGTGTGCCTTTTCTGATTTACCATAATGTTTGATACGTAATGTTGTTTTTGCAGTGGGAATCCATATTTCTTGGAGCCATTTTGGATGCAGCATGCAGCTAAAAGCGCAATTCTAGTAGCTGGGTGGCATAGAATGGGGTATTCCTATCCTGATGAGTCTTACATATCAGCACAGCTCGAGGCGAGCATCCGTAAATTACATGCCGTTGTTGGAAATGCGGTCACCGAAGGAAAATATTTTGTTTTCGGAGCTGGCTCAACGCAACTTCTCAACGCTGCAGTTCATGCACTCGCTCCTGAGAATTCCTCCTCACCTGCAAGTGTTGTTGCTTCAATTCCTTACTACAAGGTTCGATCTCAATTACTTCTGAATTTGATGCAAGTCTTTTAAATTTTTCATTTCTATGGTACATAGAGGAGAAATATATATAAGAGAAATGAAGAAAACCGAATAGTGGGGAGGAAACATATCCTTTTATTAACGATAAGTTGGACTCGTAGTTTGATCTCGGTTTCAATCTGGTCGCTATAGCTTTAGTGGTTTCAATCAAACTCTCCTAGTTTCATGTTGGTTAAAAATTTTAGACTTCAGTTATGTTTAGTAACGGTGTAGTCATCTGAAAATCATATGTACAGTTTTACCGTCAAGAAAATTGAACGAACGAGTTGTAACTTTGAACTGAGTTGAAGCTAATAGTGAACTACAAGACCGAACTGAAAGTCAAGGTAAAAGTACAAGAGGATGAAGTTACTGCTACTTTACTTGTATTGTGACAAGTTTGAATTTGATGCATACAGCTTTACGAGACACAAACGGAGCTTTTCAGATCACTGGACTATCTGTTTGAAGGAGATGTATCATCATTGAAGAACATTTCAGATGCCGATCACGTTATTGAGTTTGTAACCTCACCAAACAATCCTGATGGGAAGCTGAATAAGGCAGTTCTTCATGGCCCCAATTTCTATGCAATCTATGATCGTGTCTATTACTGGCCGCATTTTACAGCGATTCCAACTTCAGTAGATGATGATCTCATGATTTTTTCACTTTCCAAGCTCACTGGCCATGCTGGTTCTCGATTTGGGTACGTACCTAAATTCATATGACATCATAAAATTACTAACAATTTTGTCGACAACTAGGAAGGGGAATATAAAGCCAAATTATCTGGAGACTACTCAATGCTACGGAGTGTTTTAAAAATTGCAAAAAGTTTGGGGACAAAGTGATACATTTTATCGTTAGATTTTTTTTGGGTAAAGTACAAAAAACTATCTCAAATATTGATCTCACGACACTTTCATACCTCATCTTTTTAAAATGACAATGTCATACATCATCTTACGAATTTATGTCAATGTCATACCTCTATCAGTTTTTATGTTAGTTTCTCTGTTAAGTGCTAATGTGGCTTGGTTTAAATAGTGACGTGGCTTAAATAAAGCCAAATTACCTGGAGACAAACTCAATGCTAGGAGTGTTTTAAAAATTGCAAAAAGTTTGGGGACAATGTGATACATTTTAAAACACAATCATTTTATCGTTATAGTTTTTTAGTAACACTATTTGCTCAAGGCTGAGAAATTTTCGTATTTCCTGTTTTTCGCTGATCGGAATTTTGACTGAGAAGCCAGATCCACACCAAAGAACCCGTTATTCAAACTTCAGGCTTAGTTAAAAGTTGATGAACCAATTAATTAAAGAAGCTCAGTTCAGTAACGACATATTGCTTGGCATGTTTGCACTTGCGCATGCAGATGGGCAGTGATAAAGAATGAGTCTGTGTATCAAAGAATGGCGGAGTATATGAGTACAAGCAGCATGGGTGTTTCTCGAGATGCTCAGCTAAGAGCTTTGAAGCTTATCGATGTAGCTCTTGAAACTGGAGGCAGGGAAATCTTCGAATTCGGATACACCACCATGAAGGACCGCTGGGAAAAATTGACCAACACCCTATCTGTTTCCAACCGATTTTCTCTACAGAAAATTGCACCCCAATATTGCACTTATTTTCAGAAAATTAGAGGACCCTCACCAGGTAACATCTTCACTATTTATACAGTTTTATACCGTGATTTAATAACAAAGAGTAGAAACTGTCAAGAACTAATGACGCCGGGCAGAAATCTGCAAGCACCATAGAATTTTTGTTAAAAGTATATGAGATATGTACTGTGCAAATGGTGAAAATAAGAGCGCACTAACAAATTGAAAAGGTAGGTTCAAAACTTATACGATTTTCATGTTACATTGGCAGCTTATGCATGGGTGAAGTGCGAGAGGGAAGAAGATGAAGATTGCTACAAAGTCCTGGAAGAAGCAAAAGTTAATGGGCGTAGCGGTAGCGAGTTTGCAGCTGAAAACCGCTATGTCCGTCTCAGCCTAATAAGGACCCAAGATGACTTTGATGTATTAATTCAGCGACTAAGCGAGTTGGTCTTGGAAGAAAGACAACAACCGAGCTATGCAATTGCAAACAATGTGTTAGACCTCAATAAGCCATTGGTGAACACCTTAAGGAGGGGTCTTCTCAGTTGATCACTTTTACGTTCCTCCACATTCTCTATGGATCACTTTTGCGCCTCACATTTCACTGCTAATGACACTTGGGTCATTTATTTAAGAAATTGATATTATTCGAACTTAACCACATATATAGTCCAACAGGTGTCAAATTTTATCATAAAAGACCTCAATGTCGTTAGCATTAAAACCATTCATTGAGTTATTCTTTAATGTAATGACCAGGAACAAAACTCAAATAATTTTTAGGGTTTAGGACATTTCCCCTGATAGAGAAGTAGACAGATTAGTGGGCAATCTATACAAGTAACCCGACGACGACCTATCACCTCACATTCAGTGGCAGATCTAGGATTTTAACTTAGGATGGTTCCAATATAAAAGCTCCAAAAATAAAAAAAATAGACGAAAACATCATTGAACAAATAAATGGCAAACTACAATTTTCATTCATAATCTTTGTTCTAAACAAGATAGAAATACTAAATTTGTCCACGACGGGATATAATACATGTGTCATGATAGTTTCATTGTCAATACAAGAAAAAAACATCTTTATAAACAACTAAGTTATCTTTCTCAATATAAACAAATATGTATGAACTAAAAACCCCTGACTGTAAGTAACGAATCAACAATAAATATGTATGAACACTAAAATAAATATGAAATCATCATTTGCAAGATTCACTGTTCGGCCCCTTTGTTTTTAATTAGTGTTCTTTAAAGCAAAAAAAAAAACCTAATTCTAACAATAAATCTGTATCAACTAATACTAAAAATAAGTAAGAACTTAACACTAAATTAGAAAACTTAAAGAAATGTGGGAGCAGAGACGGAAGTTGAACTATTCTATAAAAGATGGTGATTGGCGAGTGAGTCTGACTATTCTATAAAGAATAAAAGATGGTGACTGGTCAGGCTCTATCACGTGAAGGTGAGGAGTTTTTAAAATTTTTAATAACTTGGTTCAAAACGACGTCGTTTTGGCCAAAGTTATTTAAAAAAAAAAAGTAGTTTTCTTTTTTCTCCTTCTGTTTTGCACAGCGTGCAGCAGCCACTGCTGTTATTCTCCACCACTGCACAATTTTGGGTGGTCCTCGAAGATTCTCATAATCATTTATTCAAGCTTGCGGGTGATCCAAGGACCATTCTGATTCCTTAATAGATCCATCAAACTAAATCAATGCATCTTTTTCAAACTAAATCAATGTGCCGCCGGTCATCATCACATCAAGGAGGAATCTTTCTTTCGTTTGGTACAAATGAAATCAATTATTGCTGTTCATTACGTGAGGTATTACGTAAGTTTACGAAAATATTAAGGAGACTATTTTTTTTAACCATATCAGTGTCACCTTATTGAATATAAACTTGTATTGAATATAAACTTGTACAGAAGTCCCTCTTAAACTTGAGAGAGGATTTCGGAAATCCTCCAATCACAACCGTTTATCGTATATTGTGCGGTTAAAAATTATCGTAAATTTTTTTTATTTAAAATTTATAAACAGTACCTAACGAAAACTGACCACACGATGTATATTGAATGAATATGATTAAAGAATCCTCAAATCCTCACAAAGAGGATTCTCATATTCGTTAAACTTAACAACACCTAAAACAACATCTAATCATCTCTTAGACTATGTCCAATCCTTAGTTTAAACTCACCAAAGTCATTTGCAATCAGTGGGCCAAAATGACCCATGGGAAAAATAAATGGTTGGGACCGAGCTTTGCAACTTTGTACGCCACTCATCATGAGCCAACGACTCTTTCAGCCATCCAATAACTACAATTAATGGGCCATTGGTTCATCTAAGGTTATCCCCAACCAAAGGGTCTAGAGGGCCAAAAGGCCGAAAATAGTTCGAAAACCGTCTCCAACAGAGAGCTAGGTCAGAGGGCTCGTGAGCCCCATGGAATCTGAATTGGCCAAAGGGCCAACCGGCTGGCCCAATCCAACCAACCAGTCAACCCTAGGCTGGTCCATAAATTCTAGCGTTTCTGTCGGATATAACCGACAGGAATATATTTATTAAATATATTCTTGTCGGTTATATTCGACAGGAATTCTAGGCCAAATTTCAAATGCAACAGCTAGCCGTTATTTTTGAAATTTTTTTTTTTACACAATTTTTTTCCTATAACCTGTATTTTTTTTTCTATAACTTCCTATAACTTCTAATTTACAAAATTTGTTTTATATTTTTTCTAAATTATATTTTTTTTCCTATAACTTCTATTTTACAAAAATTTGTTTCATATATTTTTAAAATTCTATGTTTTTTCCTATAACTTCCTAAGCCATTATACAACATTAAATTAAATTAAGTAACACGAAACAACATTAAACAATATGAAACAACATTAAATAACATTAACCAACATAAAAATTATACACTATAAAAATAAAAAAAAGTATTTAACAACATGAAACTTAAACAGCATTTTTAAAAATTCAAATCCAACGGCTAGCTGACGTCACTTAGCCGTTGGATTTGAATTTAAGTTGTAGTTTTTAAATAATAAATTATGTTTGGCCCTATGGCTCTTTGGCTCTTGGTTGGAGACGGTTTTTTGTGACAGGCTAAACGATGCCCTATGGCCCTTTAGGCCCTCGGTTGGAGATGAAGGCAAATATGGTCATGTACTGTTCATTAAAATATTAATATCTTGGAGGGCCAGAGGCTAAAACGAGCCTCTAGCCAGCCTTTGGTTGAAGATGGCCTAACTGTCCAGCTTATAAAAAAAATATTTATAATGTATTAAATCGAGCTGCTATGATTGAATATGAGCATATTTGACGGTAAAAAAAAAAAAAAAAAAAAAAAATTGATTACCTAAATTTAAATCTAAGGGCAAGAACAATTAAAAAAATATTTAACTCAAATTTCACCCCAAAAACTCTATAATATCTATGTATTTATTTTCAAACATCCACACAAAATCTAACGGCTAAATGATCATGTTAGAGGACCTAATCGGTCAAGTGATGATGATATTGCTTTGTGCTTGGCATGAACATTCTTAGATTAAATGTTGATAAAATTAAATTAGGATAGGTCAATTTTCTTTTGTAATCCTCATGGTTAGATCTCACTTTTAATGTGTCACACAAATCATGCAGAAGATCTCCAGCAACACAAATCAAGATAAATTAGAAGAAGAAAGACAATCAAGTTAATGGGATTTCAGTTATTCGATGACCGTGTCTACTGCATTGGGGCTGATGTATCCAAAGTGGTAATCGGACATAGCCATGGCGGAATCGCCATTAACACTAGAGTTTACGGCTTGAGAAGGTTTTGAAAACCCTAGCAATAATCAGCGACTTGAAATAAGTTTATTTTTCTTGAATACCGGCCTATTCGTATCATTAGTTTGTGGTTTCTCATTCTCAATGTTGATCGATAAGCATTGTTCACTGCAACTTCAGCTCACCGAGCTGGTCAATGTCTTGTTGATTTCATCTCAATCTCACCAAAATCATATACAAAGACTAACATGGCCTCAGAGCTCGGTTAGATTCGAATCAAGGGGTATGAATCTGTGATTTGAATGCACCAACAGCTGCAGTGGAAGACATTGCTTGGGAGTTGGGAGTGGCACAGAAAACTTGGTCACTTGAACTTCCGGAGTCTACAAATGTTGGTGGACAAAGAAATGGTAATTGGATTACCAAAGCTGAAACAAGCACATAGAGTATGTGAAGGATGTGCGGTTGAAAACCATCACAGAAAAGCCTTCAGTGGAGAGATGATTCGGAAAGCACGCCATCCATCGGAGTCGATACGCTCAAATACACTCAAATGTGTGTGGTCCTGTGCAGGTCACAACACTAAGTGGAAATAGGCACTTCTTGACGTTATAAATGATTGTATAAGAATGTGTTAGTTGCTTTTCTTGAAGCAAAAGTCAGAGGTGTTTGCTGTCTTCAAAAGATTTAAAGCAATAGTTGAGCTTCGGAGAGGGCACCAGATTTACAATTATATGTAGTGACAGAGTTATAGCCGGTGACCACAACGGCACTTTCTTGGGTGGTGCTTCCCGGTACTCACCCACCTTTGATGACAAGCACAGCCGGTGCTAACGTGCCTGAAATTTGCTCGAGCCAAGGGCTTCAACTGGACAATAAAAAACACATTGAATGGAAAAGATGCACAAATTTGATCTGGACCTAAATGATTAAGTTAAGTAGTCTTTTTGCTACGCGAGGAAATGGAAAATACATCCAAACAATACAAAGTTATCATCCACAGATATCAGTTGATCTGGACCTTGATGTTGCTCAAGTGCTGTACACGTATTCTTTTCCGTCTTCACTGTTGCATTGTTCGTTATCATCCCCGTTCCTTTCTACGTAGGGAATGAGGCTTAATTTTGACTCTCACAGAAAGAAAAACTCCGTATGACAAGTTAAGTCGATCCTTACGCCACAATTGGCCTTTTTGGTCCTACTAACTGCCTTTGTTTTAATCGGCTAAATGTCCTCCTCTTGTATAAAAACAAAAGGAACCCTACAATAACAATCAAAAGCAGGTAGACTTCGAAGGGGATTCCCCAAATGATGCCCATACTGCCCCAGCTGCAATCACAGGCACTTCGAACTTGGATTCCTCTGGTATTGACTACAGGATCGAGAACAAAATCTACATTCGTCGCGCCTGCTTCTTCCAACCAGATACATGTCGTCTTTGATTTATACCCAGGCGCAGTAGCTGTAACTGCACGTAACCAGTAAATCCAACAAAATATTCAGGCATCAAAAGCCATCTAAAGATGAGAAATCGGTACCATAATAGAATTAGAACTATGAGCATACATCCATAAAGCATTCGTTTCCAAAATTCTTCGACAGATCTATTGTCAAGGACTCAAGATACAGATTGTATCTCATGTTCCCCCTTCATAAGAAACTAAGTTCAATTACCATAAAATCCGGTAGCTGCAATTACACCAGGAATAAGAAGAGCAGAAAAAGAGAACCTTCACGTCACATCCTCTCATTTCATGCCCTCAATAAACAATCCACTACTCTCTAGATCTAGGCCAAGTTTGTTGGAAAGAGAAAGTATTTCATGTTCAATGCCATGATAGATATAACGATTTCCATATGACAGTACATGAAAAAGTGTACAACCTATGGAAATGTGGTCTATATTCTATAAAATGATACCAGTAGTTTTAATTCTCAAATTGCAATCATAATTTCTCTTTTTAATATTTAAAGCATCCAGCTCGGTATGAAAACGGATGTAATCTGTAAATACCTTCATATCTTCCAGCAGGGGAAAGCAAGCGATGGTAATCCGCAATTGCTCTGCTAGCTTGAATCTGTCAGGTCAAATAGATGAGCCATTGGTTTACATGTAGTCCTCTTCAGCTTATCAAGTAATGTACAAAAGCTAACTGACCAAAAAAGTATAACAAACTATGACGTAAACCAAAAGGCGTAGCAAAAATAAGCGACATTCCAATGCTTATCCAATTTTCTTTAATTTTGAAATGTACTGATCGAACAGATCATTTTGTCATTTATTTCTATCATTTACTCTACTAATCATACGGCTAGAAAATATCCCAACAACACTTTAGGCTACTCAACAGCTGTTTTGATCTACTACTCAATTCAATTCTAAAACTTCAGTCCAATTTCACATCTCAAATTGAAGCCATATTGTACAATCATAATATGAAAAACAAATTATCCCTCAATTTGAAGAATAAAATGAAAGTTCATCAATATACCGTGGAATTTATCCCTTTGATTGCAATAAATCCAGGCAACGGCCTCCCACCATCTGATGAAAAGATCCTTCCACGTACTCCTATCTAAAGAGTACAAGAGTGTAGTTAACGATATCACACCCATCTAAAATTAAAATTTTGAAAAATCTGAAATGGCCTCATGGGAGAATTTTCGCTCTTATTCTCAAATGTTCCACATAGAGAAAAGCACCATGGAATCAAACAACAGACCACAAGCTAAAATAATAAAAATTCTGTTCCTGTTGTAACATACCTTGACTACGGTTGCAACGAGATTAAGCATGCTCATTTTGTTGTATTCCCAAAGAGTGAGAAGCTGCATGTTTATATGCATAAAAGACAACACATCAAATGGTTAAATGATAGTAAGTTAAAACGAACAGGAAATAATTTCCTGGGCAAATAAAAGTCACTTGTGCCAATTAATCATTAAAAAATGAACCCAACATAGGACAGGCTGGCAACAACATCCGTGAATCTTCCTAACTAAATAGATATAAACTACCAAAATTTCGATATAACAAATCAACTAAAACATGTAAACAAGCAAGAAGGCAATAAAACCTACTGTGGACAAGCTTATGTTAATAGGAAAAAAGAAACAGACAGAATATAACGATTAACTAACATTGTGCCTCGTGTATAGGTCAGGAACAAAGAACATAACATGATATTAGAATAGTATCAAAACTTGAAGCAAGGACAAAATCAAAATAATCAGCCATGTTAGGATACTGAGTAACCCAACTTTCTTAACCAATAGAAAAAAGGGCACAACAATCAATTTGGAGATTAGCATGCTTACACTCCAGTAGAGTATTTTTCCTAGGATATTCACAAAGGAGACACTGACACAGTTGATGAAGCTTCTCTTTAAACAGACATCAAAATATATCCCTGCCTAAAACCCTTCAATGAGGTGAAATTTAGATTGCGAATAGACACTCTCGTGTTTTGAAGGGAGTGATGTGAGGCTATTAACTCTGAAAATGTAAACCCACACTGATAAGATTGCTAGATCCCCTCCAATGATATTTTAAGTCACTTTGAAGTGTCCAGTTCATCAGATATCATGCCTAAGACAAATAAACAAAAAATAAAGGCTCCTGCTCAAGTAATCTGAGCTATGTTTGAGGACGAGCGTTTCTGTTAATGCATGCTTAATAGATTTGCATTCTATTTTTAATGGAGCATGAACAAGGTTAAAGACTTTGTTCTTACTTATCTTCGACCTCTTGCCCCACGGAAACTTATCTTTTCAGTTCTTAACAAGAACAGCCAGGTACCATGCAAAGTTCCATCCCCGCTGCCCTAAGGTCCATTGGACCTATGGCTACACCAAGGGTGTAACCATATCCCCATACATGATAAACTTTGCTAAAATAGTCATTTATATCAAGGTTGCAAACACACGCCCTAACTGATGCCTAACCTCATTAGCAGTAGGCCATTTGTTATCACTAATCTCCAACGTTAATTCGAAACAGCCACCATTTATGTAGTTCCAGTCTTGCATGCCTCCATATACAGGGTACCTACAACAGGTGCAAGAAGCAATTGATGAATATCAAACAAAAAGAAAATACATAAAATTGTAATGTTTCAAGCCATCATACCAGAATGCTCCATTTGTAATCCCTCCCTCAAATTCCTTGCTCAATGACATATTGTAGTGAGAGCGACTATACACACTTGCTAAGAACCGGAATGTCTCGTCGTCCGGACATGCATAATAATCTCTCCTGTAGTTTAATTTAGATCAAAAGGCAAGGGCATGTGCAAAATAAAAAGTAAGGCGCTTTAGCATAAATTCTGGGAGAATGCTATTCTAAGTTGCACATTTGTTAGGCATCATTTGAAAATTCATAAATTATATTAGTAGTCGGCAATGTTCATAACATTATAGTAACACTTTAAGACCTAATATTCACATCACCATGCTTGTTTCACACTATAAAAGAAACATTTAAAACACCTAATACATTTGGCATCATACGTAAAATTGAATAATAATCAAAATCTACACTCTAACAAACACACGCTGAGGCCAATGTACAGCCAAAAGAAGCTTAATGGAAAGGAATACTTGAAGACAAATGTTCGTGGACAAATGTCCAACAAATAAATCGTTTGCATTTTCCTTTGCTGTCAAAGATGTTCCAAGAGAGCTAAAGGTTGACAGGTTTTCCCATTAAGAGGACAAGATTTCAAGCTTTTAAAAGACAAAAGGAAAACAAAGAACAGGAAATACACAATAGCATATTAAGAAAGCAAGACCATACTATCAAGATAACAATCAGCAAATGCAGAACTTTAATGCTAGTAAAATGATTACCTTTTATCCTGAGTGCCATCCCATGGATAATTTGCAACAAGGGCACCCTGTGAACAACAAAAGAATTGGTAATGACTAATTGCGCCACATCTGGATCAAAGAATCCATTAGCTAAGATTGAGAACCACCTGTTGGAATTAAACCCTATGAACATTATGTATTTTTTGAATTAACCGATTTGGATGAGCGAAAAAAATGAATGTGGATGAAGGATAAGGAGCTATATTAGATCTGTTATACAAATTTTGGATGGATCAATTTACAAATTCCTTTCTTCCTAGAAGTCTTCCAATAACCAAATTTAAAACAAACACTTCATAGGTAGCATGCTCCAAAGTACAAGCTGACAAGCACTAATGCAGCGGCTTTGTGTTTGGTAAATACTATATGTCATATTGATTAAGCTAATGTCTTCCTTGTCTCAGAAGAGAGAAGTCGTTCAGGCATTCTCTGTATCCTTAAATATTCTCCATAAGTTTGACACCAAATGTATTTACCAGCATGCAGATCTCAATTATGGCAAAGAGTTATAACTGATTGTTTTTGCAAGCTACTGACAGTAAGCAGGAAATTTTAATTGGCTGCTCAAACAACTTCATGATAAGGGCACAGCTATACTTATGGAATAAACTAAAAGAACGGATCATAGCAGGAAAAACACAATGTATTACCCCATGCAAGCTGGCAGATGCAGTAAATTGTATCTCTCTCAACCACTTCATTATTGCTCTTGTTTCAGGTTGTCTCCAATCCTCATCATCATTGACCGGAAAGAACTATCATTCATGTCAATGTCTCTTATTGTTGAAAATTGGCCAATGACTTTACTGATCATTGTTAAGGCCATAATATAAATAAATACTAAACAAAAGATGCTTCAGACATCCCACTATATAGAGGTTGTAATTTGGAATCTACAGTGAATATCAATCGCGAGGTTTAAATCCTATTCAACTAACAGGAAGTGGAATCTCATAATAATAATGATAGTACAGCCCATTTGCAAGCATTTATTCAACAAAGATATCCATCAAATTCATATGGCATAAAATTATACCCAAATTAATTATTTCTATTGGCATTTAAGATTTTAACCTTAGGTCTCGCTAACAATATTTTACTTCCATTGCATCTTATTTCTTTCCTTGGCCACAAGTCATTGACTCTTCCTATTGATGATGGAAACTAAATCTTGTCACTCAGAAAGTACCTGGTCTGGAAAATCTCGATTTAGGTCAACATTATTTGCATTACCCCGCCTCCTTAATGAAAACCCATCAGGATTCATAGACGGCAGCAAATGAAGATGCACATTGTCCACAATCGATGTTGCCTGCAGTGACCAGTGGACGTTTGAGAGTACGTTAAATGTTGTACAACTGCAACCATGCAGAACTAATATTTGTGACACGAATAACAAATAACTACTTTAAAATAGGTTTATATGATATTATCATGCAAAAATTGAGTTAACACTGATCACTTTAGTTTTATACTCAAATGAAACTTGGAGAATCAAAAGGGTTCAATAACAAGGACTAGGAAAATATAGAAAGAAAACAAACGACATATACATGCTCAGCAGCATAAAAGATGCAACGTTAATCCAGAAGGTCAGAGGAAGAGATGGATGCACATGTCTTGCAAAAAGGATTTCTTTGTTCCACCTGATTAAGATTTACGCTAATTTGGCATGATATCAATTATTTTTTCATAAGATACTTAGGTAAATGATGGTTCTTCTAAGGGGTTCAACAGATAAAAGTTTAAAACCCCAATGTTGTAAGCTCTAAAGCACAAAAGTGAAGGCAACGTTCATCTTTCCATTTTCTACAGTCCACTAAAAAACACACATCACAATTGAAGTGTAAAAAATTCACAAATGACTTGCAAATAGAGGAATATAGAAACTTCCAGAAGTTGTCTGAAAATATTTTTTCTTTTTTTCTGTTAGCAAGTCTGAAAATACTTTATTCACGAAGCAGATATGTCAAAACAGGAACATATAGATGAAAATAAGAGCAATGTGGGATAACACTCAACACAGGAAAAGACAAAACGAAAGAATGAAGTAATTTGCCGTAAATTACAAAGACATGTAGGGTATATAACATGAAAGAGTTACAGAACAATAATTAGACAAACACTTGCAATAAAAGGAAAGAAAAATACCAAAGGATCTTTCAAATAGTTGTCACATATCCAATTTGCAAGTAGAATTAGAAGCTCCCGGCCTACAGGTTCATCTCCGTGCACATTTCCAATGTACTGCAGCACCCAGCATATTTATCAAAAAATGTTAAAAAAGCACTTGAAATTGCATAAATGAGTAACAAGCGATTTACATTAAAGAACAAACGAAAGCTTTCAAGTAGCACACCAAATACAAAAATACTACACAGTCACTGTACGAAAACACTCAAAAAACTGAAAACCGGGTAGTGAGTAAAACTTTTTCTACAAAAATTGAATTCAAGATTTCAGTTTTCAACAGTAAACACGAAATGTGGCAGGTGGAAAATGAAAGGGTAACAACAAAAAAATATTAATAATGTATTATTAGTTGCAGTAGAAGAATTCAGAAACATTGAACTTTAAGGAAGAGAAGAGGGAAAACAAATTATCCAATTGCATGTGATCTTTTGGCATGTACTTATAAATTATAATCTTTGTCCTATTACCGCTTCTCAGATTCATTATAAGTTTCTTGTGGTCGTAAGTGGCTCATAACAGCTTCCTTCATTTGTTTCCATGCAAGATCAGAGAAAAGGTAACAAAAAGTGTGACTAAAACTGCCCTCAAAACACATTCAATTGATAGTCTCTCCTTCCTCGGGGACAAGTAACATAATTCAACTAGTGGAATGAATTTATAAAGAGCTCAGATGGATACCAGAATCAACTCAATTCGGTGGTAAACAGGTACCTAAACCTTCTGGATTCAAAGGTGCAATACCAGAGAGTCAGAGACATAAATTTATTGCACTATTTTAACTTCCACCGCTAAGCAATCAATTTAAACTTCCTATTACTGAAGTTTCTGACCCTTATTCAGCATTATTGTTGCAAAAAGATTTCAGGTACTGGTGTCTGCATCCTTATTACACAGCTTTATGGTTAAATTCAGTTCCAAACAGCTGCAAGGACTAATTTTTGCTAATCTTGACAGCATCACAACAAGTTCCTGTTCTTTTGAATAGTAACTTTTTCTGGGTTATGGATAAACACACTATCAACGAGCATTGTTCCAAAAAAAAATTGATTGTAGGTAGGAAAGAATAAAACTTCAGGATTCAAAAGTTTTTACCAAATAGCACAGCTTGGATAATTTGGATAAATTAATATTCAAAAATAAAAAATTGTTTTGTTTGAGCTTTTGAATGTAACAGAACATTCACCTTAAATGCAGGTTCAGGCTCTTCCTCCCCAGGCTTATCAGAAATTTCTATTGCCCACTACAAGCAATAATAAATCAAACATTACAAACTTCATAAGATGTGAGTCAAGATGTTATTCTAATAAATAAAACCAAAGCGATCGAAAGCAAAGAGGAAACTTCAGTGAAACGATTACCAGAGGAACCCCATTCACACTCTTCCCAATACTGATAATCCATTCGAAAAATCCCTCAACAGGAGAATAGAAAGATAAATCAGCATAATCATCGTGAGCTGCCTAAACAAAAATTCTACAATAAAATCTAGCATTTATCCAACTAAAACTACTACTAACAAATATCATTGTTTTATTCATATACCAAAAAGTGGTAAAATTTTAATCTGGTACATGTTAAAAAATGCACAAGTCCAAGTAATCACCTGTAAACCCTAGAAATGTTACTGCATCTTCGGCCGAACACCTTAATGGCCCGTTCCAGGTCAGAGTTAGTCATGTACCCTTGAGCTACGTCAACACTGTCGCAAATTTTTTCACATTTTCAATAAACACATACGTATATCAAATTAGATTACATAATTCATGTCAAGCTACTAAACTTCAACTTTAGAGATAAATACCGCTTCTGAGACTCCTTATCTTCAAACAATTGCCTTCCAGAACCACCGCGAGGATCAAATTCGATAACTATCAACATTTAACTTACAATTAGCTAAATTCTTAATGCTAAGCTAGTTTCCTTTTTAAGTAACGCCAATCCACCAAAACAGAAAGAAAAAAAATGTATAAAAGCAATAGGCATGATAATCTGTCTTACATAATTAACTACCGTTTGGTTCCTGGGAAATCAAAGGAAAATTTCCAATTTACTTCTTGTTCTTGTAATCTCAGTTTTTCAACTTCCAAAAACAACCAAAAAATTAAATTTACACAGATGCATATACACATAGACATAAAAATGCATACAGATATACATATATATATATATATATATATATAACACAGATGAGGAGATGGGAGGGACCTGGGGGGTAGGAACTGTGAAGGCCGCCTCTAGCAGTGGCAGTACGAAGAAAAGAGGAGAAGCTGAGAGAGAGGAAGAGGATGGAAAGAGCAAGCTTCATTATGTGATCTTTGGGGTTGACGATGGTGGCGATGGAGCTCCAGCATCGGATTCTGGAAGCGGTTGTTGGAGCTCGGAAGGAGTTGAAGAAGAAGAAAATCGTAAAGACGAAGATCGGAGATGGTGGATCTCGCGGGAAAATGGGCTACAAATTCCAATGGAAGCAAAGTAACGGGGACTTCGAGATATGGGTTGCAAATGGATCTCGGCCCATTTTTCAAACAACTTGTCTTTGGGCCTAAATTAGCCATACAAACCTAGCCAGATCAAACCAAATTTAATAGTTTAATCTTGTTGATATGGAGAATGTCACTAAACTATATTACAAAATGACAAAGTTGATTTTGGAAATGGTTGTCTATTACCTAGGGAATTTACTAGTTGTCGAATGTAATATCTAAATTTTCTCATATGTTTACTAAGACATAAGAAATCCGAAAAAGTGTTAGTTTTTCTTAAAATTCGTTATCAAATACCTAAAAAACAAGAACCGTATCAAATAGGGGGGCTAGTTGATCCGATTTTCTTTCTTTATTTTCCATATTACTATTTTCTCTCAATCCTTCATTTTTCTCATTCTTAATTGAAGTAAACATGAATGAAGAGTTATATGGATCCAATGCTGCATATCATGTTTGTGAATGAACCATGGTAGGCATCACCAGGGACAAATATACATTGGAACCAAGGTGGTCCTAGGATCACCCAATGCAAAACATATACATGTGAAGTACTTCTGAAAACTCTATGAATGCTTGGAATGGATTTTTTTTTTTTTTTTTTGTGCCTACCAAGGGTTTGATATAATGCATGTTAAACATATCTCGACAAGTTACGTCACAGCACTCAACAAATTCTCTCGATATCACTCATCGGATTGTTTCGGCATATGGCGATATCTGTTAACATATGTGCAACATGGATTGGCTGACGACAACAAGCCTACCAAATGTTTAAAGAAAAGTCTCAGTGAATAAACTGAATTTTGTTTTGCGCGTTTCATACTCTATTTTTATCTGAAAAACTTAAACATTAACACTAAACTCCCCTAAAGTTTGAAACTTGAATTCACCATTGAGAGTTACAATCTAATCTTTAACGGAATCGACACGTGGATACTTTGCGATTTGAAAATCTTTAGGTTCAATTTCAACAATTCTAAAAGTTTTGACAAATGTTAAAGTGAATCTAAAGAGTCGATGTGATGAAATATTCGAACATTGAAATATTGTAGCCTCCCCCATAACCTTACCCCAAGCAATGTGTGTATCCATAGATTTAGTTATTCAAACAATTGGCGTTGGTGGTAAGGAATGAAGTTTATTCGTCAGCAACTGCATCATGCACCTACTTATCTTCAACCGTCCAAACTTTTTAAAATCGCCTCTGATTGGCTGAGCTTGAGGTCATCAATATCATGGTCTCAACGCGGACGGCGGACCCCCAAGATGGCCGACCAAGAAATGTCAAAACTTTGGACACGTGTACGACTGTTGTATCAACACCTAATGCATTGCATATCAATATCCATGATCTCGATCGATCTTAATGGTTATTATTTTTTTATTGCATTGTTACAAATAATATTAAATTGTTAGTGCTATGGGAACATATTATATGTCGCAATTATTATATTTCTTACATTAATGGAGCCTCTTTTGTCTTTGTCCTATCGTTCGAAAGGGTTCCTAAGGGCTGGATCAATTCTTTAGAATGCGTCTATTGAACTTGATTATCTTAAATTTGATTAATTTTATGGACTATATTAGATTAGTTTGACTTGAATTAAGCTGAATAAGAATTAAACGAAATAATTATCAAAATAGTTTTCCAATAAAATCACTAGTAATTACTTTGTTAAAAGATATTTATCTAGTATGAAAAATTATGTAAATAGTTCGTACATTGAACTATCATACTACCAATTACGACTTCCTTTTATTTCTTTTTAGTTGAGAGAATCTCTATTAATTAATGAAACCCTATTTGTCAATTAAAAAATGGTGAAAAGACTATTTAGTCTTCTATCACACAAAAAAAAAGATGGAAAATAGTGTAATTTCACAGTTTCAAATTTTACTGTTTTTTATTGAAGCCTCATCTAAAGATGATGTTCAAATACCTCCAATATAAAAATAAATAAATAAACCTCCCACTCCCCCACATTCTCTCTCTCTCCCTCTCTCATTCTCATTTTCTAAAAAAATGTGTTCATGCAAACAAAATGTGTAGACAAATGCTTGTATTCATTAAGCCCCCGTCTCTTGAACACGAAAGACCAAAAAGCCCGTTTCTTGAAGTGATATGGACAAAGAAAATTGGGTAGAGACAACTAGACCTCGTCATTTATCTATTGGAGGGGCATTGGAACTGAATGGTTTCTTCAATGGAAACGTTTTCAATAACCATCTCTTTTTTTTTTGTACGCATGTATATTCATGAAGAAATGCATAAGAAATTTCATATTTTGTCCAATTCGAGGGTTATTCATGAAGAAAATATATCCATACTAATCCTCACACAAAAAATAGGATTAAAGACTATTTTTCTTCATGAATAACTTTTGACTTCTACATAAGGAAGTTATCATCCGTTTATTCCTTCAAATTGCTTTCGATATAGTAAATAGTTATACCCAAGTCAATACTCTTTAACAAACAAACGAGATCATAGCGTGTGTAGATATAATTACAATATCTTAGTAGATAGGGTGTTGAGTTTCCACTCATGTGTCTCGGTTCAAAACTTCCAATTTCCTAAATTATTGTAATGTTTTGAATTCCTCCCTCTCTTTTTAATAATAATAAGAAAATTTGAAAACCAATTACAATATAATCATATTATTATTCATAAGAGAATTTTCCATGAAATGGGCATGCACCTAGGTATGGAGTAAATGATATGCAGATGGAATTGGTGGCCTTGCCCTCACTACAAATTAGAAATTTGGGTCATACATACTGCATTAACGTAACCAAAGTTAAAATACTATTTTTCTGGTATATGTTATGGACACATAAAAAATTTAGGTTTAGTCTAACAAGATATCTCCGTTATCGGTTACTTGTTTGGGCATATTTATCACTAAAAAAACACAAAGGTAGTCTTTCAAAAATGAAATTCCACATAAATTCTCTGTTATTTCACATTTTAACGTTAATTATTATATTAATATTATAAAATATTGTGTTAGTAATATGTAAGAAAAGAGATCATCTCTGGATCGTTTCCTTTAAATTCACTCAATTAATCAATTCGGACCTTTAAAATTTGATTAAACGGCTACAAACAGAAGGCCCTTTAAAAGTTATAATAATTTTAACTGTTAGATCAAATTTCAAGTATCCAAATTTAATGATTGGGTTTATTTGGTGGAAGACATTCACACAACATTTCTCTTGTCCAAGCGAGAATTTCGGTCAACGTAGACGTCAACACATCTTCTTTTAACACTGCCAATAGAAGCCCACCACGTATGATGGTAAGATGGGATAGCATGCATCATCCGCATTCACCATTATCATATGATTCATTCGTCAATCAGCAGCCCAAAGGAGTAAGGACAAATGGGCCCGGAGGTTGCAACCAATAGCGAGAGGCCGTGCATAAATTACATGTCAGATGGGACCCACACGGATCACGAGCCAAGTTGGGAGAAGATGGATGGGCAGATCCCACCAGTCGAAGAAGGAAGATATATTGCTGGCACACCATTACGCCACGTCGCTTAAACAGAATATTCGAGATCCTTAGGTACCATTAACTTATGTATAATATCTAGAGCTGGTCGCTTATTGGCTGGCGGCACAAGAAAATATCTTAGAGCACGTCTAACGGCAAGACCATGATCTAAAGACAAAATGCCTTCCAAACTAACATAATTCTGAAATTTCTTTTTTCTTTTTTCTTTTTTTGTTCAAGTGATAAGAGAGGTTAAAGGTTAAAAAGCGTTAAACGACTTGATCTTATTGACTACCGACATTGTTCTAAGTTGGTCTAATAAAAGTTCTTAAGCAAGGCCTGAGGCTAATTTGGGCTCACAAAGAGCCTTAAGCTCTAACTAGCCTAGGCTGATTGGGTACGTTAGAAAGCTTTTGTTTGCAATTTGAGCTAAAAATCATTCGTCAGATGTGCTCTTAGCACAATGCTCAGTCACACCCACGACCACAAGATATATCTGTATGCCTGATAGACCGTCATGCCCTGCTGCCCGCTCGCTCCCACCCACACATCCCTCCACATGTCACTTCCTTAAGGACTTGATTTTCTCGGCCACAACTCAGTTGCCGGGTTTTCTCATGAAATTAAAGATTTTTAACTTCAATCAAACTATTTGAACTAGATAAATTCTAACATGTTACTTAGTACTATAATTTAGTGGTATAACTTTTTATTGTAAGTTAGAAATCTTAGGTTCGAATCTCATCAATAACAAGTTGGATATTAATTTATTCTCTCCACCCCTAATATAAATATATTGTTGTATTAAAAAACTATTTATTAAAAGAAAATAAACACTTACAAAATAATTATTTTTTCATTTAGTTATTAATATTTATTTAATCCTCATAAAACACTTGGTGAGCCAAATCTATGTAACACCATCACCAGTTAACGGAACACTTGGCAAATGATTAACAGAAGTATAAAAGTGACAGAAAAATTAAAATTTAGGTATGAAGTTGAGACGGAAAAAAAAGGGCAGTAAAGTGAAAATTTTATAAAATTTAAGAATAGTAAAGTGAAAATTACTTAACTGAAAACCAAAAAATATTTTAAGTAGCTTCAACTTTCAAGATATTGTTTTCATTAGTTCTTTTCTGTTTCTTTATCTCCTTCTAGCCCACCAACCTCTTTTTCATTCATCATTTTTTCCATATCTAAATAAAAATAATAAAAAGTAGAAGTTAAAAATAAAATGGTTATCAAATCAACTTATAAAAATAAAACATACACACACAAAAAAGGCAAAATTAATTGATTACTCTCTATTCTAGTCGATATTTTCTCTTCTTTTTTTTTTTCACTTTTCGTCAATAATTTCTCTAACTAAAATAAAAGTAGTGTGACGACCCGTCCCTAATTTTCCATGTAATTTTCTCCCCAAGTGTGTAAAATGACGTTTATGCCCTTTTTGGCAAAAGTGGAACTTGACTTGGACGTAGTTATTCGGCTTCAAATTATTTTTCTCGTTATCGTAATTAAATAGTACTTGTCATTATGAATGTGTGAGCGTGAGTTAGACCCAAATCGGACTTGTAACGAAAACGTTAAGTTTGGTTACAGTGCGTTAACAACGGGTAGATTTGTACACGTGTGTGCTAATTATTCAGTGTTGGAAACACTGTTTTAGATAAGGTGAGTTAGATTTTATAGATTTCTTGTAGTTTTATATTGCACGAAATCTGATCCCTTCTCTTTAAAAACCTGTCTTATGACCCATACCTCACCCACCAATCAGTCACTATCCTATTTACCCTCACCTAACCAGACAACTTCCCTCACTTTTCCACCAATCAGAAAAATTTGTCTCTTTTTCTCTCTCCCTTACTTGTAACTCTCTCCTTTCTGTAATACCAAGGATCATCATCAAACTTTATAGATCAAGCCTAAAATTATCACCATCAAGATCCTCTCATCCTCACAAACCCATTCATACCAACTGATCACGAAATGGACAAGTTTTGAGTGTCCAACTTGGAGCTCTGACTCGGGCGTGGATTCTTCGACGTTTTCCTGTGCAAGTTACAACGTTTTGGGAGTTTTGGAAGCACCTACGCAACTCCCCGTGGCCACTAGACTAGGGTTGAAGTGGAGCCGATGTGAAAACACACAATTTTGAGATGACGAGTTTGGGTCCGGGGCTATCAAGTCTATTTTGATCCATTTTCGTCCACCTTTTGGAATTTTAAGAGGTATAATCTTGTTCTCCTCTTCCCCAACTTCAGTTATATATAAAGTTTGTCAAAAATAGTTGAGAAATGAAGAAGATATGAAGGTTTGAAATTTTTTCCAGAAATCGATGAATTTTTCCAGATTCCGACGAACTAGACGGTGGCAAACAGCAGAGGTCAACCGGAGAAGAAGGAGAATATTTCGTTAAAGTTAACCGAATATTTTGACGCCGTTAGGTAACACCGTTAAACTTAACGGAATATTCCGTCAAATCTAATGGAATATTCCCTAGGGATTTGTCAGTTCTACTAGCGTGTGCAGGCACGTGGCTTGCGCATGGACGCACGTGTGGCCACAACCTGACAGCGCGTGAGGGCGCGTCCGGCCAGTGGCCAGCGTGTGCTTGATGTGTATAGGTCCATGACGTCGTGTAGAATATTTTCGTATATTTAAACCCTCCGTTTGAGCAAACTATGGGGGATTTTCCTAGCCTTTTAGTATATGTCCTATTTAATTAATTAGTTTAGTTATTTCGCATATAGGTGAGAATTACCCCGAGGACAACCAAGGCTAGGAGGCTACGATCCATGACGTATTAGTGAGTGGACATTTGTTTTCGTGTGTGTGTGTGTGTGTATATATATATAGAAACTTTATAGTTTCCACATATGCTTTGGATTGATTTTACACCTAACTTGCCATGTTTTATTTAATCTTTAAAATGCCATTATTTAGTGAGATTTATATATATTCATGGCATGCTCATATGCATTATACTTGCTCATCATCATGCATGCTTGCATCGGTGTAGTACTCGCCCCTGCCATGGCCAGACTTCACGTTTATGTTCACATCGCACTGCACACTCACCTTGGATCCATTGTAGGTGCCAGTCATGTCGTACAAGTTGCCTTAGGCAACTCCGACTCATATGTGATGCACTTAGCGCCAGTTTTCACATGATTGTAGTACTAAAACGTATATTATGATTACACCCAGTCCTGTTCATGTTAGATTTCCTCTACATAAACTCGTGTGTTAACATAGATTGATGAGCACCTGATTTTATTATGCTACTGTTAGATATTGTGATTTGGCGTATTTATGGATTTATTGTTGATTTACATTTGATCTCATACTTATATGTAGTATGATTTTCTAGAAACTATACATGTTTTACGGTTAGGGGTTAGTATGTTTAGAAAATAAATGTGTTTTATAAACCTTTGTTTTTTCCCACTCACCCTTCTATTTTTCACTACTCCAGGACCTAGATAGCTGAATTCTCTATGGCATTACGAGGATTCTGCGACGGTTCTGACATCTCCATAAATAATGTAGAAGTTTTTTCCTGCCGTGTATTAAGTATTTTGATTAGATTCGACTGCACTACTTATGTCATATATGCTCCAAACATTTGTGTTTATGGGTTCTTCCCATTATTGCGCACTCTCTACTTTAGATTAAATAAATATTAGCTTTGGTTTAAATTGATCCTTATTTTTATGCTTCACTTTCCTTTTTGGTTACGTGTAACAGCCCGTCCCTAAAAATGATGATTTTATAACTTTAATACGTGATTTTACGAAAATACCCTTTGAGGCGAGGGTGTTTGACTTTCGTTGACCGTTCGAAGTCACAATTAATGTTTCCAATTAGATTTGAAGCTACGGACGCATAGGCAAAATAAGTTTGTGAGTTCAGATTATAACGGTATAACTACGGACAATAGAAATTGTTTCACTAAACTTTAGATTTAAAGGAAAATTAAATCCCACCATGTGGGAAGTGTAGCCAATTAGAAAATTAGGGAGGAAGGAGTGGACCAATCAAACAAAAATGGGAAATGACCAATTAGGAGAAAGGGGTGGACATCCAATCAGGAGAGGGGATTTCCCTCTTCCCATCAGCCACACCCATACCCACAACCAAAACCGGTTTCAACTCGGTTCCAATTCCGGGTGATTTCCACCAAGTAATCTGACAAAATTCACCCATTCTCCACCTGGAAATCATCCCTTGACCTCCATTCTTCCATTTTCACCCAAGATTAGGAGGAATTTGGTGGTAAATTGTTCTAAAAACCGACGGCGGGTGCCGTGGGACATTTCTCGAGATTCACTAATTGTGAATCAATCTCCTTCATTTACCACTACCAAAACACTTCCCTGGAACCCAAGAACAAAGCCCAGACAGTGGTGGAGGCGTCGGAGCAAGTTTAGAGGTCGAATCGAACACACCTAAGTATAGGGTTTCCAACGGGTTTTAACAAAATTGAAGCTCTTCCCGACCTAATTGGCCTTGGCCACATGTATGAAAGTTACCTCTACCCATTGACATCTTCATTCCTGTAAATTTTGGTAATTTTTGGAAATAGTTGAATTTTCCAACGAGTCAGGGCAGCCGACCGCCACCGGCGGCGGCACATAGTCAGTGGGCCGCCAATGCTATTTTTAGGCTATATTAAATGTCTTGAATTTAGTTTTGATATTTGAATGACGTAGGTTGATCATTGGAACCTAAATTCTCTACAATACGTTAATAGGTATTTATGTGAATCAACGATCCGACCGTTGGATTACATTGTAGTACGTAATATTTGAAGAATGTAGGAACTTACGGATTGGGAATCCGACCTACGGATCTTCCCAAATTGGATTTGTAAGTTCATAAAATAAAATGTTGACCGCCACTTGGTTGTGGCAATTGGCGGAGATCTGACCGTTGGATCATAATGAAACATTAGGACGTGATTCTAGGAACATAATGTGAATCTTTGGAAGTAACAGATCAGGAATCCGTGATGCTGATCTTCCAAAGTGAATTACGTAGGGATGTGTTTTATGTAAATTATGTATTCTATCGGTAAGAACTCTGAGACATGATTTGATAATTGTTATAGGCGACATTGGTTCGTGATGTCTCGATATGCGTGCTAGGGAGTCGTAGCGCTAATCTCAGGTGAGTGGGTCTTTTCCTGTCCATCGTGTGTGTGTGTGTGTGTGTGTGTATGATTGATAATTCCACAAACGTTTATAAATCGATTATTGCTTATGATTACTATGAATGCTTTGAAGCAATTATCGTGAACTACGAATGGCTTTATCCTTGGTTAGGGTACGTAGGCAGTCTAACGAGACGTTAGATGCAGCCATACAATAAGTGAGATTAAATAATCGAGACAAAAGCTTTGTTTGGGAAAAAGAGCAATGCGAAGGAATCTGGTGAAAAACATGAGATTTAACCTTATGTCTTGGTTGTTAAATGTTGGTTATAAATCAATGTATGAAGCATCGAGAAATTGAAGTAAGAAAACGTAAGTAGTGATAGTTAATTAAACTAGTGTCTAGTTGAGCTTATCACCGATAATTATTCCCAAAACTAAGTAGTTTGGAAGTGGGGCGTTACAGATTATGCATTTCATGCTATGTTATATTATTTATATTTGGAAACACTATGAAATGTTTGGGTTTATATTGTATCATGGCATATTCATATGTATATTACCTGAATCTAATTATTGTGAATGCTTTGAAGTGCCAAATGACGCTACGGACGCTCAGGTGAGATTCAGGTAAGTACACTTTGATGATAATGATGGTAGTGAGTACGATTGTGTTGAGATATATTAGAGCTTATAAACCTGCACCTCGGTGTTAGTGCTCCTGCCCGTGGCCAGGGCCTAGTCTTCACGTGATTGTTCACCTCCCGCACCACACGCTCACCTTGAATCCAAGGTAGGTGCCAGCCTGTCGTACAGACCACATTAGGTGGTTCCGACTCGTAGGTGACTTGCGATACTTCGCACAGCCTTCACGTGATCGTAGTACTTGAGCGTATTTATTTACACCAACCTGTTGTACAAACCACTATAGGTGGTTCTGACTCGTGTGCAGAGATATGTGATGAGCTATGGGTTCAGCCGTACAGGCCACAAGACATGGATTTGACTGACTTATTACTGAGATATGAATAAGTCGTACAAGTCATTATAGGTGACTCTGACTTATTTGCTAGCCATGATTGATGAGATATGAATAAGTCGTACAGATCATTATAGGTGACTCTGACTTATATGCTAGCCATGATTGATGAGATATTTGATGAGATATGAATAAGTGGTATATGTCACTATAGGTGACTCCGACTTATACACTAGCCATGATTGATGAGATATGTGATGAGATATGAATAAGTCGTACAGGTCACTATAGGTGACTCCAGCTTGCGTGCTAATATAGTTTTATTAAGCACATGTTTATTTATATTGCTAATGAGATGTTGAGTAGTATTATACTTCTGAGTTTACTGTTAGTATACTTTTGATGTCATACTTCTACGTAGTATGATTTGCTGGAAACTATTCGAGTTTTACTGTGAGTGGTTACTACCTTTGATAATGGAAATAATTTTGAAAATCTTTATTTTGACCACTCACACTTTCTATTTTTACACCCCTCCAGGTTCTAGTAGCATGGTTCTGTATCGACAAGGACATGTGGCACTCCCAGTTCTGGTGGCATATATTGATGGTATAATTATTATCTTTGTTCACTGAACTTGTTTTATACTCTGTATCACGTGTGAAATGAGTTCATACCTACTCAGTGCCTAGTTGTGTATATAGGCACTTTTAAGTTTAAATTTATTCACACTTTACACATCATCACATTCTATGGCTTCGTCACCTTCCGGGGTGTCGATTAGCACAGCTCGATTCGGAGTCCTAGTGGACTTTCCGAGTCGGGGTGTGTCATTACGTCACCTTCAGGTGACGGTCAACATGTCTTGACTCCGGTTGGAATGTGTCAAGTAGCACTAAGATTAAAAACTAGAAGTTGGATTTATCAATTGCTTGCTTTATGCACTTGAGATGCAAATTGCAAAGTGGTTTTCTCCTGTTTATGCTATTTAAACGACAATTGCATGAGTAAAGGATAAAAGGCAAACAATGAGCACCATTTGAGGAGCTTTTTTGGTGTCTTGAGAACACAATCCAGTACACAAAGTGTAATAAAAAATTGATTAGAAACTTAAAAAAAAAAATCGAACCAATTGTATTATGATACTTGATGTACAGAGCCCAGTTCTCAATACACTGAAAAATTGCTCCACCATTTGATGAGGCATTACTGTATAAATATGTAATGAATCGGGTATTGGTCCTACAGGAATTTTGGAACCAAAAAAATGTTGAAGTGGCGCACTAATTTGATAACTGGTTTGCACTTTTCATAAGTCAATCCAAATACTTAGAATCTTATATGTTCTCTCTCACCCCACTACCAAATTTTATGCATTAATATTGACCAAAATTTCTTTTATGCATACCTAGTCAACTAAATAGTCATTTGATTTGATTTTACTAACACTCTCTAATCTTCATTGAGTAAAGTTGGAAACATGCAACTTTAAATTTGGTCAACCAAATATTTGTTAAAGGTAATAACAGTGTGAGAAAGAACAAATTAACATAAGTAATCAACATGAAACCATTATTTATTTTCTTGTTAAACAAGTTGAACATGAAGTCATTGAATATTTCTTCCCACTACTATAATAGGGTATTCGACGATGCTAGGGTATTCAAAAGACTTGACCCTCTCTCGTACCTTAATGAATTTAACAATCTAGAATATGGACAACAACCAATAGACGCACTCTAGGAGTCAGTACCTTGAGTCTAAGGAAAAGACACATATCCCCAACCAAGCCTCACAATAGGCTAACAATAATGTGGTTCAAATTCGCCTTTGGCGAGAATTGAACATAATACCTCTTACTTACAAATGAAGAGAAATACCACTAGACCGTAATACTAAGTTGCTCAATGACATAGTTAGATTCAACATCTTTTACCTCAATATTTGCATCATTCGTGCACTCATTTTGTTGGGGGGTTTGAGTTATGAATATGTGTTTCTCTTTTGCAGGTTGTTTGGTTAAAATTTTGCTATAGTATAGGTTAATGTTCTAAAAATTGGCCTAGGCGCTAAGCGGTGGAGGACCGATGCAATTTAGGTCGGAATGTGGAGAAAAGTCAGGCAGGGACTAGGCAAGCTAGGCGGGTTAGGCGCGGGTTAGGCGAAGGTTAGACGGTTCCATTGTTTTAATTTCTTCTAATTAAGTTAATGGGTTTTCTAAATAACCTACTTAATTAGTGAATTTTCAAATTTGGTTTTTGGTTTTTGGTTTTTTTTTTTTCCCTACATTTCTCAGTGATGATGGTAATATGGCTTTAGTTTTAAGTTTTAACTTTCCTAAATTCTCAATACAAGTATATTTTTATTTTTTAGAGTGTACTTATTTATATGTTATATAATAAATTTAATTAAATCCTCCTAATCTGCTTAGGCCCTCGCCTAGGCGCTAGACCCCAACCCGCTGTTCTACTAGCGTCTAATGTTTTTTAGAATCTTATTTTTTAGTGAATGACTCTTCATTTTATTCAGATTCTCAGGTTTCATAATATTGGGATGAGTGATTTAGT